AAATATTCATGAGTGACACAACCACTATCTACTGGTGTGTTTTGCCTCTTGAGCCACCATTCAAGTAGAAGAAATCAGAGATTGTCTGCCTATTATTAGTATGAATTTAAATGGATGGAACCCGATTCCATTACGTAAAATTCCGGTAGAGTCAGTCCACAGCCCACCAGCACCGGCACCACCTTCCCTCTTGACACTCCCCATCCCAGCCATCTTTGTCTTAGGAAACCAAAGCTTCCTAAAAGCAGCCATGCCTGAGTCTTTGCCTAGGCCCCTGGTATTCGATTAGCCAGAATAGGGTGTAGAGGGCTAGATTAACAAAGATAAACTAGTTTAAAAATCACCTTTGGTTTTCCATAATGCTTCACTTCATCCATGTTCCCGTAAACTTCTAAAGTTAAGATAAATAGGCCTAAAGTAATACAAAATTGGATTGCTTTAAAATGATACCTGTGATCTGGTAGGATCTGGAACTTACTGGAACACCAAGAACACAAATTAATTTGTATGATTTTGAATTTACAGTCCTGGGCTGGGTCAATTTTATGTCATAAGAGCGGGTTTAATAACAGCATTTATTGCCTAACAACATACAAGATCTACTTCCCAAACTATTTCAAATACTTTTCGTAAGATGTTACCAAAACCAAAGGTTTGAATTCATGAGCGAATTATAAATGATTTTAATCTATTCTTTAAAGCAAGCCCAGGAGGTGGTTTATATAGTAATATCCTTTAGTCAGCAGTGGGATATGCCATTATATATACAATAAAACATTTTAAAAATATAACTTGGGCTTTTCACTAACACAGACCTATCATGGCCAACTATTAATTAATTTGAAAAGACTGAATTGATTAGATACTTTTCTTGCATCAAAGCCAGGAAGAGATGCACACTTCCTAAAATACCATAATTTCAGTGGGCCAAGCACCTATATTCTTCAGCTCACTGAATCCTCACTGAACTTCACGAAGTTGGTACTGTGATGAACTCCATTTCACAGATGAGGAAAGTAAGGCTCAAAGAGGTAAGTAATTTGCCTTAAATCTCACAAATGTAAAAGGTAGAACAAACATTCAACACCTGGTTGTCTGATTCTAAAGCTGGTGTGCTTAACCACTATGTAACAGAAAAGCCATTCCCCTCAACTTATGCAAAAAAATTGTCAAATATAACAACAATGATTTAGACCTGCATAATACTTTACAGCAGACACAGTGCTTCCACATCCTCCACAGCCACCTCTTGGGTGACACCGAGTACAACGTCGATGCATGTGTAAAGCAAGGCCACCTGCTGGGAAATCCAGAAAATGCTACACTCCAGAATTTCCAAAAGTAACCCTGCACTGTTCCCACCTAACCCAGTGAGGGGAGCTGGGGAGATCCATGGATTTAAGATAAGGATATGTTAAATGAGAAAAACCTTTATGTATTTTTAGAAGCACTTCTACAGTCATTAGCTGACTGAAAAGCGCCCTGTGTGGGAGACAGCAAGATAGGATATCCCTGATATCCTGAGGGGCAAAGGGGCTGAGGCTCAGGGCAACTCAGTAAAGTCCCAGCATGAGTATGGGACTCTGGCAGGACAGAAGCCAAGTCTTCCAGCCCTCTTCCTCGCGGTTGGAGACACATCTTGGGAGTCTAGGGAGTCCCTCATCTTGCAAGCTCAGACACCCCTACCACAGGGATAGCTGGTGGCAGGTCAGTGCTCAAATGGAGGACGAGACAGGGTCAACCAGCTCACCGCCCATGACCTCCATCCCCTGTCCCCCGGGAATCCAGCATGATTCTAAAGATGAAAACCTCAAAAGGGATAGAGTTCAATGAACAATGAACAATCTGAAAAGGGAAAAATCACCAAGTTTCTAAAAGCCACATGTAATCTGTCTAAATTGCAGACTTACAGAAGACATTCCTTCCAATTCTTGGTCATGATGGGAGCAAATCCTCAATGACAACTGAAGGTTAAATTGCAACATTAGTTATAGACATTCTCAGCCCCTCCCACAGAGCACGTGACCAGAGATGGAAGTGTTCATCTATGTCCATGCGTGGCCGCACGGGGTTTTCAGTTCATAAACTTCACACTTACCTTGAGGGATAAAGGCTCTGTTAGAAAACCAAAGACTTTCCCAGAGCATCAGTGTTAGAATACGTTATAAATAGATAAACACCAAATCCAATGTACAGATTAAAGTCTGTTCAAGAATACAATAGGATGGCATGGCCACACAAAAGAAAGAGCCAAGGAGCAGAAACAGACACAGGTATTTCCAAATGGCTGACAGACTTGAAGACACACAGCACCATCTAACATTCCTCATGAGAAGGCAATCACATGGTCTCAACCCGCATTTCTAAAATGAGGGTGTTTTAATTAAGTGCTTAGGGGATTACATTTGTGTTGATCTGACAGTCCCTCGGGGCTATGCAACATACATTGTCTTCCTCTCAGCCTTCTGGTTTTGCGGTACCTCTAGCGTTCCCTTAAAAAATGATGAAGAATCTGAAGGCTAAAATTTTTATAAAAATTAATTTGCTTTAACAACAACAAAAATACAAGTGGGAAAGTAAGAGGAAAGTAGCAGGCAGAGAGGGAAGGCAGTGGTTGGGGGAGCTGGAGACGTGCCAGCCCGTCAATCTCCCGGAGAGATGCCTCCTCATCTTTCTACGGCAGCTCACAGAGCCCCTGGGTCTACACCTCCACTGAACATTTGCCATTCTGCATGGCTTCAAAATGGGCTACCCCACGAGAAAATGAATGCTTAAGCACAAGGCCGCTGTCTGCATCTGGGACATCTTGGCAACCCTGGTCTCTGGCCCAGAGCCGGGCACGCTACAGCATCTCAGGAAATACTGGCCAAGTCAGGCACACGGCTGAGCGGCTGTGCTTTGCAGACATGGTTCTGCCTATACCCAAACCAGCCCTACCGGAGGCCTTCGGGGGGAGTAGAGAGGAGGTAATGTGCAGCCCCTAGGGGTCTGAGCACAGCATGCACTGACAGAATGGCTGGGAAGTCTCAGGTTTTCTTTTAACAGTGTCATTTGCAGTCTCCTTCATAAGGGATCTAAGTTTTGTTTTGATGAAAAAAAATTTTTTTTTTAAAATTATTTTCCCCCAAAATATATTTCAGTAAACTGGCTGTTCCATGAAGGACTGTTCCTTTTTTTAATCCTCCAGCTTTGGGTACCTCCCACGGAGTTGCAGGTTTAACCCCCATTTGTGATAGTGGGAAGCCCCTCCTCCCATGTTTTTCTCTTTTCTTTTTTTAAGCACCTCACGATCTGGCTCCTGCCTCTGCTTCATCATGCCTGCTGGGGCAATGGCTCCTGCCTGGGGAAGCTAAGAGATAAGGCATGTCACTGGCACTGTTAAAATCAGTGGTTTCCATGGCCTCCGTCAGTTTAGTTGGGTTTAGGAGACATGAGGCGCCAAGGAATTCACAACAGGATTGCTGTTAACCTTGTATAGGGCGCTCCTGTGGCAAAATCAAATGCTATGTTACTTCTCCAGGAATAGATACCACTCTCACGTGCCCAACCCTGGTCTAAGGCCACTGAGGTTCACTAGGAGAAAGACACTTCTCAGGTTGAGGTGGAAGAGCCTGGGGCTTGACGAGCCACTCATCTGTAGGAGGCAGCTCAGGCAGGGGAGGGTTATGCGGCCCCAACCCAGGCCCAGCCCCCACCCCTCTCTCTGGCAGGGGGCACTGGCCCATGCCATCTCTACAAAGGGACTTTCTGTGACAGTGTGCGTCCCTGGTGGGGAACTGACTTCATTCAATCCAGGGCTGGCTTGGGGGAAGATACAGAAAGGAAGCCGAGATGGGTAACTGCGCTCTGCTTTCTGCTCTGGAAAAAGCAGTGTTTCCAAAAATGCGATTAAAGCCTTTTCACTAACTCAGCGTACATGAAGACATCACTTCCATGAGACACAGCCTTGGAAAGAGCAAGATAAAGTGAGTGAGGAGGAGATAAACTCACTGGGAAACAAATCCATCAACACGGCTTCCTGAGGGTGTCTGGGCGCAGTGCAGTGACAGAGGCTCCTCTGGGAGATGTGGGGTATCTTGCCTGCCCCCCACCACCCAGCAATGGCTGCACACAGGAGCTGATTATAAGAGTGCCAGACAGCCCCCAGCTCCCTTCTCTGCAGCACCCCACTTTCCGGGGGTGTCTGAGAGGCGCTGTGGATGCACGGTTGCCCACAAGGGTTCTGGGATGGCATCTCCAGCTATGGCAAGGCAGAGCCTGCAGAGTCCCCTTTCCAGGCCAGTCTCTGCTGCACCCTCTTTATGGAGAGTCAATCCATACAGAGGAAGTGATAAACAAGTAAACTTCAAAAATGGCGACTGAATGATGAGGTCTATGTAAGGTCGTGGGAAATGTGTGCACAGTAGTCGGTCATCACTCTGCATTGAGACAGATTCTGTAAGTTACAGCTAAAACTGAATCACAGGGACAGTTCTCACAGTGACAGCACTAGGAAACCAAGCTAATAAAGAATCCCAATCTGAGGAAGTAAGACTTTGAAACTGTACAGTATTTATGTGCTCGAGTCTTATTTCTCCTTCACAGTAAAATATAAAACTCCCCTGGAAGTATTTATAATGCACTGTGGAGACCTAAAGGGGCCAGGTTATGTACTAATAGACACAACCCGTCAAATGACAAAAGCCCCTTTCCTGGGGGAGACCAAGGCTGGGATTTCTTTAACTCCCTTGTAATCCACCTTTACACGTTCACATACTAACACGACTGGCTTTAGGGAAACATTTTCATTAAATTAACAGAGTTTGGCAAACATCGGAAACACGGAATCTCACAGACAGATACAAGCAGAGAGAATCACAGTTCAATCCAAAAGCAACACACTGAGGGGACATCAGAGTCCAAACACATGCAGAGAAGCTGTCAGGGAGCAGCTGGGAGACACGCAGAGTCGCCTCACACGTGGCAGCGGGAGAAGGTGCAACACGGATCCAACTGCTTACCCACTAAGGACACCAAGAACCAGGTTAAGGACGAAAAATGAGCCAAGGATGATCAGACTAACAAAATACACCCAAGGCCATTCCCATCCTATCGCATCATTTACCTGCAAAATGTAAGGAAATCAGTTATCAGTTATCCATTTACTAAAGAGCAGAGCCCCAGTTGCAGCTGCCAGACCCTCAGTGCTTTGCTGAAGGTTAGTGCTCCTAGGACAGGGACTGGGCCTAGGTCCTTCCTTTTATTGTCTGCAAATAAGGGCAAGCTCAGTTGCTGAAATCTACAAATGGGGCCTACCAACAGCCGACCCAATCCGGCTGATATTGCTACTGTTTTATAACAATTAATCTGCATTATATTTGGATCCAGACCAATAAAGCAATTATAAATGCATCTCATTTTAGAACAGACAAAAAGGGCAAGCAATGGAAATTGTTTAAATCTCAAGCAACAATGCTGATTAATTTCTGGTCAATAATCGTTCTATAGCTCTCTTTCATGAAGCCTGGTGAGGTTCCAGGAAACAGCTTGATTTGGGAAGCCTCAGCAGAGAAGAAAGCATCTCAGAGGACACATAAAATGTCTGGCAACCCCTCCTGACGGCCCTCATCCAGCAAAGCCTGTGTGGTCTTGGCAACTGTCCTCAGGACTCTGCTTTCAAGATGAAAGAGGTGTAGCTTACCCGCTCAATACACCAAGTACAAGATTTAGTACGAAAAATGACCCAAAGATGACGAGACTGACAAAATACACCCAGGGCAATTCAAATCCCATAGCATCATTCATCTGCAAGAAATAAGATGGTCTCATAGGAGTGAGTTAATAAGATAATTTAATAAGGAGAGAGGGTCACATTAGAGATAGCATTCTATACATTTAAGTAAACATTCACTTAGATTCAAATCAGAAACAACAGTTGCCAAATCAGAGACAACAGCAGCCAACACACATTCATCACATATTCCCAGTACACATACACAAGCATCCATACACACACACACACACACACACACACACACACACACACACACACTCCTCATCAAGGCTTTCAGGCCAAATAATAGCAGATTTTGGCCCCAGTAAGGCAAATCAGCTGGGATTTGGCTTTTTCTCACAGGAAATTGTCTTGGTAAGTGATTTTCATAAAAGGTCTTGGTAGAGGACAAAACTAGTGCTTAGCTAGAACCTATTTTCTATGCTGCCCAAGATTTTAGTACTTGTGTTTAAAATGTGTGATGGTGGAAAAGTCTTCATTATAGAAACAAACTTGCACCATTTGATTGTATAAACTCTTTTTTAAAAACTTCTAAAATAACCTTCTACTGAAAACCAACCTACCCAAGGAAACCAAACCCACCTTAGATCTGGATTATCTGCAACCTGTGAGTGCAAACACAGCAAAATGAATGCAAAAAAAATTTTTTTTCAAGGTCAACTAGGTGACCCATAGAGGTGCTTTGGGGAATGGGCTTTTTCTTAGCTGTACCCACAGAAAGGAGAAGCAGCCCTTATTCTTCACACATAGCTTTGATCTAGATGACCTCCTTGGGAGACTGGCTCCAGCTGTGAGCTGACTGGGTTTAGAGGTGAAAGGATGTGGCCAGAGGAACCCCATTCTCCTACTCCTGGATGAGCTCATGCTGCACATTCAATCTACCTGGCACACTCTGCCAGGTAGGTGATGAGGCTTGGTGGTGAGCAGCTTTCATGCTGGAGCAAACAGGTGCTTTAAGGGTCACAGCTGGATGGAACTTTCCAGAAGCACAGGTCAGTGTTAAATTCAGCAAACACCTTTCCCAGGAAGGAGGTGTTAAGGACCAATTGGGAGAATGAATGGCCCAAGGTATGACCCTGCCAAAACACCCAGAATCTTCAGCCAATAAAAATTACATACAGTCTGGATAGAGCCATCAGTCTTGCCTTGCAGGTGCAGGCCCTTAGGGTGTTACGCATGTGCTTTCCTGCACATTATCTGGCTCCACATTTTAGCTTTACAGCATGAGGCTCATGCATTTCACAATGTGTGCCTCATGCAGAAGCCAAACAGGGAAAAGTGAACATTAAAAAAAATTATCTAACATCTGTTGCTGAAGTCTAGGAAGAGGGCATTAAATCCCTTATGAAACACCTGTTTGGCCACATGAAAACTGATGTGCTTAATAGAACTCATATCAGTCTGCACATCTTACATTGGCAATTAGAGTAATGAATGAGCCTGGGCTGTGGCTGCAATTGTTGATCTAATTAAGTTGGGTAAACTAATTTCAGCAGGAAGGCAAAGGGTAATTCATCCAGAGCAACTATACCACTAAACTTACTGAAAACCCCATATAGGAAGAGGAAACTGGGTGTCTGGCGTGGTGGCCTGTGCCTGGCCTGGGTCGGCACCTGTGACAGAGCCCCATCTGGGCTTGTTTCCCTCTGGATTGGAACAGAGGTGCATGCAGCAGGGGAGAGGGTGCTCAGCAGGGTGAGAGGAGGATGGACAGGTCCAGGGCTCTTATCAGGAAACCTCACTCTTCCACGACCCTGGCAACCATCAGCTGCTGAGCCATCTGCTTCACCAACCCTCCCTCAGGCCTCAGTCTGGTATTCCAGAGAATGGCTCTAGTAACAGCTGTCTTCTCCACTTGGAAGGGTAAATTTTCTTTAAAAAAATTTAAAACTCTTTTAATTTCTTGGGAGATGTTTATTTGATTCACATTTGCTCAATTCAGAAGTATCAAATGATAGCTGAGGACTCGGGGGAAAGGCCAGAGTTGAATATGGTCCCCTAGAGATCCCAAATCTCTAAGTCAGAAGGTGGAGCAAGAGAGACAAACTTCAGATCTGAGAGCCAGTCTTGCTCCCAGTGAACCCTCCACTTTTCAGAGCCAAGCATTTCTTAGATCTTACCATAATCAGAACTTGCAAGCTGTTCTCAAAAATACTCACATGAAAACAGAGACTGCTTGGGATTTTGTCTATATGGTCTTTATCAACAATGAAGAACCTGGCTTCCACTGAAGCACTTCAATTTAAATTAATTTTTAAAAAACTTATATCAAAGTCATCAAGGGGTATCATCTGGTGCCTAGGAAATAATTTTCTTTCTAGCTTCAGTTTTCCTTCTTTTAAAAGGCTGAAATAGGCCAGGTGCAGTGGTTCACACCTGTAATCCCAGCACTTTGGGAGGCCAAGGCAGGTGGATCACCTGAGGTTGGGAGTTCAAGACCAGTCTGGCCAACAGGCCAGGCACAGGCCACCACACCAGATATCCGGTTTCTTCTTCATATATGGGTTTTTCAGTAAGTTTAGTGGTATAGTTTCTCTGGATGAATTACCCTCTGCCTTCCTGCTGAAATTAGTTTATCCAACTTAATAGTAAAACCCTTGGCCAACTCAGTAGTGAAAGCCATCTCTACTAAAAATACAAAAATTAGCCAGGCATGATAGTAGGCACCTGTAATCCCAGATACTTGGGAGGCTGAGGCACAGGAATCGCTTGAACCTTGAAGTGAAGGTTGCAGTGAGCGGCGATCATGCCACTGCACTCCAGTCTGGGCGACAGAGCGAGACTCCATCTCAAAAAAATAAAAGGCTGAAATGCATATTCACATCTCAAATTATAGACCAACCCAAGTCTGTTTTTCTAGCTGTTGAAAACACTTCCAGAAACTTGGTATACTTGTTTCAACTCCCCAAAGCACGCAATAAGAGAAAGTCAAGCCCTCGGCTGGTTACTGAGAAATTTCCTAGGTGCCCTGATTGAAAGAGATTGTCAGCTTGACCATTAGTACTTCCCGTGAAGGTCTGACAGCCAGCACCTCCGGAGGAGTGTGCATTAAGAAAAGACCTTGGTGCTAAGGCAAGACACCAGATATTATTTATCTGGACAGCTGTCTCCTGAAACCAATACTATTTATTTCCTACACTGAAAAACAATTTCTTTGAAATGAAGGGAAAAAATAATTTCCTCTAAATTGAAGGGAAAAAGTAAATCATGTAAGTCTAATTCTGCATCTTGAGAAGAGGTTCCATGACCTACTCAAGGTCACACAACCAGCCTAAACACTCTTTCCCTTCCCTATACCCTACTGCCTCTGTCAGCAACAAATGCTCACATGTGGGTCAAACGACAGCTCAATTATATTTATGGAACTCACTTTATCAAAGAACTCTACCCTAGGTTTCTTTCCACCAGAACTTAATGATCCCACTTCCCACACATCCAAACAGTCCTCTCCTAAGTGTGCCTTTCTACACATTCGACCCACCTGTACGTCCCCTCTCAGGACCCTGCCAGACATTTTCCAAACAGCAGTGAGAAGCAAGGCATAAATGAGCTTGAGAACGCTGGCTGAATATAAACTTGACTAGATGCAAAACAATGCTCTGCAAAGACTTTGTCCACCATATGCAAACGCCTAAAGGATTCAGAAATGTGCTTGCAGTCAATATTTAAAATCTAATCTCTTTTTATCTCCCAAGATGTTCCCTTTATGCCCTAGTTGTGGATAAAAATAGATATTCAAACATGGCCCATCTATACTAATGAGGCAAAATGCCTGGTACACTTGAAGGATGATGGCCATCACTTGTGTTTACTGAGTGCCTGCTTGGTGCCAGGCACTGTGCTGGGCAGGGATGTACTGCTGTGTATCACAGCAGTGTGGCTTCCAGCTGACTGTGGTCCATGAAATATTAGGAAGGCTTGGTTCCTTGGCCCCTGCCTATCTCTATGATGAGCTAATAAATGCAATCAACAGGTAATTAAAAGCAATCCTGATGTGTTTCAGACAGTAAGATCTTAGAGAACAGTCGGGAAGACATTACTTAGCTGCCCCCTGGTGTTCTGGAAGGATTCATAAACTTCTGACCACTGGAAGAATGCCAAGGAAAGAGTGCTGGGTTCTAGTCTAGACCCGGGGGGTCCCCACTGCATGATCTGGAGGCCAAATCCAGCTTCCTGTCTACTTTTATATGGCCTCGAGCCAAAAATGATTTTTACAGTTTGAAACAGTTAGTGGGGGGTAAAAATCAAAAGCAAAATATTTCATGACACAGAAAAGTCACACAAAATTATAATTTTAGGGTTCATAAATGAAGTCTGATTAGAATAAAGCCACATCCATTTGCTTAGGTACTGCCTATGGCTGCTTCCTAGCTACAATGGCAGGGCTGAATCGTTACTGAGGTGACCAAATGTGGCCTGCAAGGCCAAATAGATTTTCTATTTGGCCCCTTATAAAAAGGTCTGCAGACCCCTGTTCTAGATCAAGGACCATAACCATCTGCTATAGAACCCAGGGAACATTCCATGGTCTCTACGCCACTGTCTCCATCTTCAAGATTGCAGACCTTCTATAAAGGGATACAGACTGGGATAAAGTTTATGAATGACTTGAGATCCTCCATCGGAATAAAGATGCTGTGGAATTCATGGAGACTGCAATTATACTGTCGAATTATTAGCCATGTTGATTGCCATATTAATAATGAAAATAATAATTATATCATCCTAGGTGATATTTAAACGTTCTCAGGAAAGTAAGTGGAAACTTTTGTCTCTGGGAGCCTGAAGTTCCCTCTCCTTTAATCATGTACTACCAGATTTTACACTTGCTTGGCAGCAGGAAAATTGTGAGAATCAATGTGCAGGAATATAACATAAAGTATAAAATTGTTCATTAGTCAAGGCATGTTGGATCAGCAGTTGGCAATTCACCATGTCAACAGAGAGGAAAACAAAGCTGAGAGGAGTCACAGATTTTGATTTTTTAAAAATCAAAATGTTGTTTTCTCTCCTGCTTGCAGGGGAAATACCAGAGTTTGGGCTATTTTGATGATGCTTTTTCTATTTATTAGAAATTTCAAGGGAAGACTGTAATTGAGACCTCAACTAATATGACTAGGAGTTGCAATTTAGGAAATAATAGTGAAAATGAATGCTTCACCTAACCTGAGGGCCCTCTTGCATACACGAGCCATGCCCCTGGCTCAGCCAATATCATCTCCCTCCTCCTTCCTCTTCATGAAAAGACGTTGTTTTATGAATATAAATAACAGATGTGCATACTCACACAGACACACACACACACACGCACACATGCACAGACACACACACTCACATGACAACCAGAAAAAAGAAAGGTAAGTGGGAAAAACAAGATATAACATGTTGGTGATGCTTAAACCTCATCAAGCTAGACTCACTTCGGGGACTAAAGATAAAAATATACCTTCTTTGTCTAATATTGAATATATAGGGACATCTACAATCCTGCGAGCTGGTAAAGGGAAGCAAAAACCTATTTATAACCATTATATGTTACATTCTCTGAAGTTAGGTAGTAACAGGAAATCCTGAAAAGTATCTAAAATTTAGAAACTGTCAGAAGCTACTTCTCAATGTACAGGCCTTCTACAGAGAAGCTGCTGATTTCAGAAGTACTTTATTACTAATTTCCTTTTAACAACTCATGATTGGAATCCTGGTTACTCCCCTTTGGACTTGGATTTAGGCTCAAAATCTACATGTTAGCTGTCTTTACCAGCAACTCTTATACCATGAAAAACAATTTCTAAACTTCTGTGAGCTTTATTTACATTCTAAGGAACAAACTCAGCCCTGGGAAATGGCTTTTAAAATACTATAGCACTTATTTTTATACAGCAAATCTTTCTGGCCCTATCAGGAACAAGAGGAATCAGGCCCTCTCCTTGAAAGAATGTCCATTAGTTTTCATGGCAGGCTGGATGGGTCCAGCAGCCCTGGAAGTCTATATGCCATTCCTACCCTTTCTGTCAGAGTTCTGTAGCTTCAAACAGAAAGGAAGACGCTAAGGGTTTATGCTGGGCTGATTTATGGTAATACTAAGATAAGAATGGAAAATATTATCATGGCAGAAACTCATGCTGGGTTTAAGGTTGTACTGAGTTACGGAAAGTACAAAAGGGATCCAATTTACATTCCCTTTCTTCCCTTTAGGATCTAGTAGAGAACCTGCCTTGATGTATAAATGATTAACTTTAGCCTGTGGAGGTCCAGGAGCCTCCTCACCTAGAAAGTGACCCTTTGGCTCTCTTAAGAGTTGAATTGGGGCCAGGCGCCATGGCTCATGCCTGTAATCCCAGCACTTTGGGAGGCTGAGGCGGGTGGATCATAAAGTCAAGAGATTGAGACCATCCTGGCCACAATGGTGAAACCCCGTCTCTACTAAAAATACAAAAATTAGCTGGGCATGGTGGCGTGCACCTGTAATCCCAGCTATTCAGGAGGCTGAGGCAGGAGAGTCGCTTGAATCTGGGAGGCGGAGGTTGCAGTGAGCTGAGATCACATGCCACTGAACTCCAGCCTGATGACAGAGTGAGACCCCCTCTCAAAAAAAAAAAAAAAAAAAAAAAGAGTTGAATCAGGATAGCCCTGTCTTCCTGGAGTTCCTCCAAAGAGGACCACTGGGCACCCTTGGCACCAGGTCTTCAGGCAGCACTGGGGAGTAGAAGACTAAAGCCAGAAGCCAACATCGTGCAGCAGCTTCCTGCAACTGAAACTAAGGCCCTTGGGGAACAGGGTGATGAGGCCTGCTGGTAAAGAAAGCATCTGCTTCCCTTCCCAAATAACTGACTTTGGGGTTTCTTTTCCAGCCAACTCTCCAATGGCTTTAGCTGACAAAACCCACTTATCCAAGGAAAGGACACTCCATAAACTCTTTCCCCAGGGTGCTTACCCAGTAGAGCACGTCTGTCCAGCCCTCCATGGTGATGCACTGAAACACAGTGAGCATGGCAAAGGCAAAGTTATCAAAGTTGGTGATGCCTCCGTTTGGGCCAACCCAGCCACTCCTACATTCCGTGCCATTGGCAGTACACTGGCGTCCATTCCCTGAGAACGCACATGGAGCTGGGTCCTCTTCAGCTACGATATCTGCAAACACACAAACAGGCTGCACCACTCAGGACAGAAACATCAGGAAATCCAGGCCATTGGAAGGTGAGAACCCTTGCCAGAGCCTGGGACACTCGACCGCCCCATCTGTGATGCCTCAGGATCCTACTTGTCCTTCAAGGTTCCCTTCATGTGCTCCCTCCTTAGTGGAACCTGCCATTTCTGCTTTTCAGGTCCACGGCTCTTTTCCTCTGCACCCACGCTTGCTGCACCCTCCTTAGGCTTAGACGGCACAATGCTGTGGGTGTGCCTCGCGTTTTCGCTTTGGAGGTCTCTCGTTTTGTTTGCTAGTACACATTACACAGGAAATTGGGGTGGAAAGGGGGACTGAATTCTCATCTATTCTGAACATAATTCACCTGAGAACTAACTCAGTAAGTGTACCGGTATATTGGGCATTTTTTTTTTCTATTTTGTTTTAGATTTTCCCCAACCACAAAAGGTGCTTTGGGGAAACCCAAAAGTTTTTAAAGTTAAGTTAGCTACCATTTTCATTACTCACCTGAGTCAGCAAAAAAACATGTTTTGTGCATTTTTCCAATAAAAAGTTCCAATCCTATAATAGCATAGATTATGATTACAAATAATACCAAAAGGGCTATGTGAAGGAGGGGAACCATGGCTTTTATAATGGAGTTCAGGACAACTTGTAAACCTAGGAAAAACAAAGAAATAAGTTTGTGAGCCAGGAAGACACTCCAATAAATCATATATATAATTCTCAATCATGCTTCCTTTATTTAGAACACAGAGTAATAAAATTCAAAGAGGTATATCAAAGCTTTTCATTAATATGAAGCCTGGATGTGAGATAGACTGACAAGGAACTTTAAAGATCATCTAATCCAACTCCCCCACTAGACACAGGGAAAAGGAAGGTCTAGGGAGGTGACTGCCCAGGGCTGAAGCCCACCATTCATTCATGCATTTCTCCATCCATCTGACAAAAGCCCCTGAACATCTACCATGTGGAAATCGGGTTTCATGCTTCGGGGCAATATGAAGATGGTTTATGTAAAATGTCTCCCCTCAGAAAATTACATTCTAGGAGACACAGAATTAAACACAAATAATCTACTCTAGGGTAGCACATAGATGCTATATAAATAATATCCAACAGTTAAAATTAAGAGGGATGAAAGGGGTGAAGAAGGGGCCTTGAGGTAGTTTCCCTCTAGGCATGGCCAGGAGGCTGGGTGGATTTCCACAGGTGGGTATGGGAGAGAGTCGACTTCAGGAAAGAAGAACAGAATACCACAAGCACAAAGGTGAGTAGCACAGGGCGGGCTTGAGGGTGCCGAGTCTTGAGGGGTGGTTATATAGTGGAAAAGAAAATCAGGAAAGAGAAGTAGATTGCAGCCAGGGTTCTGGGTTTTGAATCCGGGTTAGGGAGCCAGATTTCAGACCACTGGCAAAAGGCAGCTGCTTTAGAAAGAGGAACAGGACAGCAGCAGGCCAGACACAGAGAGGTGGTTCAAGAGTGCTGGGGTTAGGGGAGGGTGAAGATCAGGATGAGGCCAGAACTCAGCAACTGAGTCGGAATGAGAGGAAGGTACTTATGGAGCATACCAGTTATTTGAGCCAGGGTCTTGAGGCAAATCCCAGTGTCGGGAACAAAACTAAGCATTAAAAGGGAAGTTCTCCAGGATGGGGGAGGTGGGAGGGGCAGGGAGAGGGGTGAGAGTGACTTGAGCCTTGTTAAGTTCGATGTTGGTATTATATAACATTAAGGTAGACGTGTCTCAAGACATGTCCTGTCTTGAGGGACAAGAACATGAGAAATGATTATTTCTGGCCGGCCACCATGGCTCACACCTGTAATCCCAGCACTTTGGGAGGCCAAGGCAGGTGGATGACCTGAGGTCAGGAGTTCAAGACCAGCCTGGCCAACATGGTAAAACACCGTCTCTACTAGAAATACAAAAAATTAGTCAGGTGTGGTGGTAGGCAACTATAGTCCCAGCTACTCAGGAGGTTGAGGTGGGATAGTCGCTTGAACCTGGGAGACAGGGGTTGCAACTCCAGCCTAGGTGACAGAACGAGAGTTCCCCTCCAAAAAAAAAAAAAAAAAAAGGGAGAGAGAAATGATAATTTACTACATTTAAAACTTTTGCTGCCATGGAGGTCTTAGCAAGGTAGGGTCTTGCTGAGTCTAAAATCCTCAGACTCAGACCCATTCATTTCAATGGCAAAAACTGCAATTACTTTTGCACCAACCTAATAGAAGCTACCCATGGAGTCATACTCAGTACCACAGTGTGGGTAAGGCTGTCAGCCAAGGGAGAGAAAAACAGGTCATGAAAAGAAGGATGGAGGTGGCACTCAGGATTAGGTTTGGGTGTGAGGGAGCAAGAGACTAAGGGCGAATGTGCAGGAACCCAGAACCTGCCCTAGACACCAGGCCTCCTGACGCCACGCTGGCATCCCACGTCCTGCTCACTGGCCCGCAACCTCAGCACTATGGTGCTGCTCACTCTTTTCCTCCCTACCTGCTCTTTCCCTGTCCTTCCCTGTTGTTTCTCCACCTTCAAACTTCCCCTCTTCTGCTATCACCTTACTTTCCCAACACATATTCAGGAAAGAAAGGATGCAAGAAGCTGAGATGCTTACATCAGAAACCAGAATACAACAAGCAAAGAGAAGATGCAGCAATCACGACAGACATTTACCATGAGAGAAGCAGCACAGGAGGAAGCAGGGGAGAGGATGGTGAGGGAAGAGCAGTAAGGATTTCGGACTGAGAAGACTCTGCCTTGCTGTGACCTCTATTACAACTAAAACCTGGGTGCTACACCTTTGGATAAGTAAATGCTATTTTTTTTTCAAAAATGATCAGTTAGGACAATTTTCAATATTTCTACCTCCTGTAAGGAACACATGGAAGGGAAAAGACGACACCTGTTCTGATCCCAATGGACAGGTTTCTATTGTGGTTTTGATTTTCTTAAGACACCAACAGGCCATCCAAAATCATCCCCCAGCAGTTAGCTCTTCTAAATTCCATGGCAGTAAGATTCATGAAATTTTTTTACTTTTAGGGTAACTATTGTATTTCAGATTGGTCCCATTTATGAGATGATAAAGTTGTATGTGGCTGTGAACATGTATACTTTATTGCATTCAGCTCCTTTGTACAATTCAACACATATGGTAGATCTCAGTGGAACTCATGGGACTCTAGCTAAGGAGGCAGAAATGGGAAGAAGACTGGGTCAGGAATGTGGAGATCGTGGGTCTCGTTCTGTCTGGCTACTCATTAGCTGTGAGAACTTACACAAGTCACTAACTCTAACAGGCCCCAGTTTCCTCGTCTAAAAGATGCAGGTAGACCAGATGATCTTTAGGATTTTTTTCCCACTCTGATGGTCTTGAACTTTGATAAACATTTCCCTGTCCAACAAGGAAGGACAAGGAAAGACAAGGTAAGATGTTAAAAGGTGAGCAGCACAGTAGTGCTGAGGCCGCAGGGCAGTGGAGAGGACGTGGGACACCAATGCAGGGGTCAGGAGGCCTGGTCTCCCAGGGCACATTCTGGGTTCCTGCCCATTCTTCCTCAGTCTCTTAATATGGGTGGTTAAGAACTCCGCAAATGTCTGATTTGCCACCTTGTGAAATAAATCTCCCTTTCACTCACTCAATAAATATATATTTCCATACACACGTGCACACAAAATTATGTCTTACGGAACAGTCAGGATTCTCTTTAGCAGGCACTAAAGAATTCCTATGTAAGTGTAACCAGTCAAACATTCCTGGACATTTTTCACAACTTCGGGCACTAGAGAAGAAATCAGAAGGCCGCAGTTGCCAACCACCACTAGAAACAGCATGTCCCACAACCTCTGATCCCTTCCTTCAAAAGCCTATTTGAGTTTGATGAGACTGAGACGTTCCCCACCTGGGTGGTTAATAAGCTCAAAAGTCCTCATACAAGACTCAGACCCACATTTTTCCTTGCTGACCCGGGGGAGAGTTAAATACAAATCTAGCCAATTTCAAACAGTGATGTTTGTTGGAGAAAGGAACAAATACAGTTTAAAACTAATTCTCAAGAATATCTGGGAGCACTGCACTAGTTGACTAGTAAAAACCTCATTAGCCAAGGAAGCAGACACAATGCTACGTGAGTTCTTGGATTTTTTGCTGGCCAGAGGCTCACACACGCACACACACAGGCACGTACGCACGCACACATACAGCTACAGCCCCCAAAGTCTTCACGCAACACATACCATAGACAGGCTGACCTGTTATTTTCTCTTTGGGGGGAAAAAGCTGTCATGGGTACTTTGAAATTAGATTAAGCTATAACAACTAAATCTGGAAGAACATGTTTGCTCACTGAAGTTCTCATTTAATCATGTTACACTTAAGAGAGCCAGTCATTTCCTAGGTATTTCTATTTTTCTCAATTGATTCCACACAGTTCTGTGGTTTTGACTTGTGCTGATCTTTTTCAATGAAAATAAATGAACCATCTGGAAAAACAAGTACACATAAAACACCACTTCCTACATTTAAAAATGTTAAATTTGGAATTTTTTTTTTTCCAGAGGATTTTTGGTCATTCTAAGTGCCAACAAGCTTAATAAAATTTCAAGAAGAACTTCTGGAGAGGCAAAAAATGTGATCTGTGTTCTTCCGATGGTTTTATGAGTTGTGAAAAACAGGCACACCCTGCAATCCATATCCTGGCTTAGAGGCACCAGCCCTCAGAAAGGTGTTAGGACTTCCACCCACTGAAGTCCCCAACACAGGAGTACTACCGGGGCAGAGCCCAGTAAGGCAACCCCAAATGCCTTCTGGAAGGATAAGAGGCTGCCGCTCTTGGCGAGGGCACAGACAGGGCATCTCTTCCAACTCGGGTATGATTTAACCTGGCCTGGGGCCTGGCAATGAGTGGTATGGTAGGGCCCAGTGGCTACAACCCTCTCACCCACTCACTGAGAGCTTCTATGCTCCATGCATCCTGCGAGAGGCTCTCCCTCCATTATCTCATTCAGTTCTTACAATGGCCTTCAAGGCAGGTACTCCTGTGCCCTGTATCCAGCTATGGCAGCTGAAGCACTCATCCCTCCCCCCAGAGCTGGGTAGCATAGTTCCTGATAGGAGAGGAGGTAATCAGAGTTTCCAGGAGACCAGCCTCCTGGGGCTCCCCACTTGGAAAAAAAAAGGCAGGTGGCCGAGTTCTCCAACACCCTCATCCACAAAACCCACCACTTTCAGAGAAGCAGGCCTGGAAGTGGAGGGGCCGACAACAGCATGTTGTCAAAGAAGAAAAATAGACCAGAATTAAAGGCCTGAACCCAAGTCTCACCCCACTGCCTCGTCTTTCTGCAAGAGAAGATTATCTCCTCCACAAAATCAGGACGACAATAACTGCCACCTGTCCCCCTCTCGGGGCTGTCACGGGGATCCAACGTGACAGTGTAAGCCAAAGTGTCCTGTCAAGTGTGAAGGAGGCCGTGGTCGTCCGCTGACCCCTGGCTGGCACAGAGCAACTCACCTTGGAGCACCAGTCAGTGATTCTGAGACCCACCCAGAAGATAAAAACCAGCACACTCCTGAGCTCTAGGAAACAGTAAGTGCTTACTGGGCACTCCTGACACTAGTCGAAGTGGTCGCAACACTCGAAAGGCACGGAGGGCTTTGACATCAAAGCCTCCAGATTTGCCGCTAGAGTGGTTCCCGCCTTCTGTTTCTTTGGTTAATTGTTCCAAAATTACACTAAACAATCTGAAAGAAGAAGAGAGAAAGAAACGTTAGAGTCTGTCACCCCAGGGAAGCAAAACAGGATGATCATCGCAGTTATTTTTGAACAAGGGCTAATTCCGTATGGCTGCCACTTCAATAAAAGGAAGGCAAAGACAAGAACTGGGCTGTGGAGCTGGAATACGAACGACCCCATCTCCAAAATGACTGGGACAGGGATTAATCTCATCTGTTTTCATTGCAAGGGAACAGCAGAGAGCAAGTCTGTCCCCAAAGAAGAGGGGAGTCCCTGGGAACCCAATGATGACAAGTGGAACTGCTGCCAACTAAAATGATGACAGTAATCTTGGTGGTTACCATTTATGAGCACTCACTATGTGCTAGGCACTGCACATACATGATCACATTAATTCACACATAATGTTATGCGGCAGGAATTATAAACATCATGTTACACATGAGAAAACAAACGATGTAAACAAGTAGCTTGCCCAGGGTCACACGACTAGCAGCAACACATGTCAACACAGGCACGTTGACCCCACTAGGATGTAGGTCCTATAAGAGCAAGGAGTTTTAGCCTGTTCTAGTCTAGTGCCTATTACAGTTTCTGACACATAGGAAGTGCTCCAGAAAAAGCTGACGAATCAATGAATGACTTCAAAGTCTCACATCTTAACAGGTTATACATAGTCAATGCAGTCACTAACACACACACCCAGCCTTCACCCTCATAGGGATATTTGGAGAAGGATGTAAATCACAGATATTAAGGAGCTGTGCAAAGGCTAAAGGCAGTTAAGGTAAGTTATTAATATCATCATTCTCTCTTTTGAAATGTGAATAATGTTATACCTGGCAGCCATGATAAATTTTTTCCTAGTCTCAGAAGGTTCGGATAAAACTATTTTCAGGCAATCTGCTCATTTAACAGTTTTGCTCTTTTAAATAAATATGCTTTGAAACTATTACTCGTTTTTCAGAGTAAGCATAAAATTTGCCCATTTCAAACAGCATCAACTCTGGCCAATCAGATTGTGAGAATGACTGGCCCAGCAACAAAGAAAAGGCTTCCAAAGTTTAATGAGCAGACAAAGCAGAAACTCTGCCCCGACTGGCATGCCTCTGGACTGCCAAGACACTGAGTCCATAAAACACAGGGTGGTCTGATTGCAGCCCTGATTGGGTATAGTTGTATAGTTCTGGGGCATTTATAGATCAGCCCTTTGTTTTAATAACACTACAGCAATTAGCAATGACCCCATCCAGGAGGGAAAACAAGCCTGGTCTTTACCTTTACAAAGCTTCAAATGGTAAGCTCTCCCTAGTTATGACTGGGAAAATAGATGAAATTTATGACATGTTTCTCTCTTTAGTGTAGTTTTTGAAAAATTTACCATAAATCCCAGCAGCAAGGCTAAAGTGAAAAGTCTCTCCTCCAAAACAAATTCATAGCTTCACAAAAACAAAGAAAAAGAAAGAAAGAAAACTACAAACTCTCCTGTAATGTGCGAGCCACAGGAATTTTTATCCCAAAGGATTAGGAAAGTAATTTACACAGGTAGTGACTTAAGGTTGCTTTCAAGCATCTGTGTTTTGCAACATATACTTCATGATCCCTTTATTCCTTGTTCTTCAGCAATGTCCTTGAAAACAGGTGGAAAATGTCTCTCTCTTGTTACCAAAGAGCCCAAGTCAGAGAGAGAAGCAGGCTGTGTTTCCAGACAGTGTGAGCCTGCAAGGAGCGGAGGCTGGTCTCCATTCCTAAGAGTTATGAGATATTAGGAAAGTCCCTCTCCTTCTCTGGGCCTCAGTTCTCCTCTCTATAAAATGACAAAACTGGAATAAATGACTCAGACAATGACCTTTCCACTCTAACATTCTGTGATTCTGTTCCCCTCACCACTATGCCCCTCAAAAAAAAGTGCCATGGGCCTGAAGAGGTTAAGGACAGGATGAGAAAGAAATAACTGACTCTTGTTATTAAAAGTTTACCCTAGCCGGGCATGGTGGCTCACGCCTGTAATCCCAGCACTTTGGGAGGCCGAGGTGGGTGGATCACGAAATCAGGAGATCAAGACTATCCTGGCTAACATGGAGAAACCCTATCTTTACTAAAAATACAAAAAATTAGCCAGGCGGGGTGGCAGGTGCCTGTAATCTCAACTACTCAGGAGGCTGAGGCAGGAGAATCATTTGAACTCAGGAAGCTGAGGTTGTGATGAGCCGAGATCTCGCCACTACACTCCAGCCTGAATGACAGAGTGAGACTCTGTCCCCTGCCCCCCGCAAAAAAAGTTAACCCCAAGGCAGAAGAAAAGAGACAAGGAGCTATCTGAACTGACTAATGGCAGAAGCACCAGAATGAGGAGTCATGTTCTTTAAAAAGGCTTAAGTCATAGAGCCTGAGTGCTTGGAATATATCTTTATTGAAAGTTTAGAGGCATGGGATAAAAGTTGGCTTAGATCAAACTTTTCTCTAAAGGAATAACTTTAGCTCTGGCAGACACACTGAGTCCTCTTGTGGTCACATTAACAGTTAACATTTTAGAAGTATCAATTACTTTCTTAATGTCTCGGTTATTGGGAATCTTGACAAAAGCAATAGGTCACTGTTGACTTGGAATGGAAAATCCATTGGATTGAGATACAGACTGCAATTGGAAACTTTAGTGAGTAGGAATTTAATTCAAATGAAGACATCGTAATTCTTTTTTTTATTTTTTAAAACCTTTCTTCCACTGTTTGACTCCGATTTTGTGCATATTTTGATAAAAACATAATCTGACGTTCTGAGGTTTTTCTAAGAAGAGTCCAGTTCTACTTCAGTTTCCTGTATGGTTTTTCTTTTGCTTTTTAAATCACTTTATATTGCAATTTAATTTATATATAATACTCATTTAAAGTGTACGATGGGTTTTGAAAAATGCATAAGCCTAAGTAACAAACACCATGATCACAATAGAGAAGGTTTCCAACATGTCAGATGATTCTCTTGTGCCCCTCTGCATGCACAGCCTTGTGCAGAGCTTCCCCTGAAGCTCAGCCTTGAGTATCCAGTGACTGTTTATTGTTACAGGTTTTTTTCTTTTTCTAGAACCCGTATAAATGGAATCACATAGCATGTTCTCCTGGTTGATCTTCTTTTTCTCACCATGATGTTTTTGACATTCATCCATGTTGTTATCTTTCATCAGCAGTTCATTTCTTTTTATTGTTCTGTAATATCCCATTATATAAATATACCACAATGAGTTTATCCATTTACCTGTTGAGGGACATATAAGTTGTTTCTAGTTTTTCTCTATTATGAATAAAGTCTTTTGGTAGACATGTGTTTTCATTTACCTTGGATAAATACCTAAGAGTAGAACTGGTAATACAGTCATATGGTAAGTCTATGTTTAACACTGTAAGAAATGGGCACATTTTTTCCAAAGTGATTATACCATTTTCCATTTCTACAAGTGGTATATGAGAGTTCCAGTTGTTCCATATTTTGGTTAACACTTGCCATTTTCAGTCTTTTTACATTTAGTAATACTAGTGGGTATCCAGTACCATCACTGTAGTTTTAATTTGCGTTTCTCTAATTACTAACAATGTTGAGCATCTTTTCAGGTGCTTGTTGACTATTCACATATCTTCTTTTGTGAAGATCTGTTCAAATATTTTACCTATTTGTTTACTGGGTTGTCTTCCTACTATTGGGTTGTAAGAGTTCTTTATATATCCTGAATACAAGTCTTTTGTCAGATGTATGTTCTGTGAATATTTTTCCCAATCTGTGCCTTGCTTTTTCATTGTCTTCACACTGTCTTTTGAAGAAAAGTTTTAAATTTTGATAAAGTCAACATTTTCAATTACTCTTTCAAGACTGGAGCTTTTGGTGTCCTAAGACATCTCTGCCTACACTGAAGTCAAAGATTTATCCAATATTTTCTACTAGAAATTTCATATTTTATACTGTCCAAGGAAATCAGAGATGACACAAACAAATGGAAAAACATACCACACTCACAAATAAGAAGACTCAGTATCATTTAATTGGCCATACTGCCCAAAGCAATATACAGACTGAATGCTATTCCTATCAAACTACCAGTGACATTCTTCAGGTAACTAGGAAAAAAAGTATTTTAAAATTCATATGGAACAAAAAAAGAGCCTGGATGGCCAAGATAATCCTATCCTAAGCAAAAACAACAAAGCTGGAAGTGTCACACTACCTGAATGCGAATTATACTACAGGGCTGCAGTAACTACAACAGCATGGTGCTTGTACAAAAACAGACACATAGACTAAGGGAACAGAGTAGAGAGCCCAGAAATGAGGCCGCATACCTACAACCATCTGATCTTTGACAAAGGTGACAAAAACAAATGGGGAAAGGACTCCCTATTCAATAAACCATGCTGGGATAACTGGCAAGCCATATGCACAAGATTGAAACTGGACCTCTTTCTTATACCATATACAAAAATCAACTCAAAATGGAGTAAAGGCTTAAATGTAAAACCGAAAACTATAAAAACCCTGGGAGACAACCTAGACAATACCATTCTGGACATGGGAATGGGCAAGGATTTCATGACAAAGATGCCCAAAGCAATCACAGCAAAAGCAAAATCTGACAAATTGGATCTAATTAAACTTAAGAGCTTCTGCACAGCAAAACAAACAGGGTAAAGAGACAACCTACAGAATAAAAAAAAAAAAAAAAAATTTGCAAACTATGCCTCTGACAAAGGTCTAATATCTAATATTTGTAAGGAACTCAAATTCACAAGAAAGAAAGAAAAATCCCATTAAAAAGTCAGCAAAAGACACAGAGATACTATTCAAAAGACATACATGTGGGCAACGAGCAGATGAGAAAAAGCTCCATATTACTGATCTAAGAGAAGTGCAAATCAAAACCACAATGAGGATACCATTTCACACCAGTTAAAATGGCTACTATTAAAAAGCCAAAAAATAACAGATGCTGGCGAGGCTGCAGAGAAAAGGAAATGCTTATACG